GAGGAATCAGGTAGACACCTGCCATTAGCTGGAGCAACTGAGTGCCATCTGCTAATATGGGGAAGAAACTCAAGGACTGACAGAATATTTTTACTGGTAAATCAAAAGCTCAGGTTTGGACATACTAAATTTAGGTGCTTATTAGACAATCTAGTGGAGATGACAAGTAGGCAGTTAGATATAAGTAGGTCAGAAGAAATGTCAAAGATAATTATACAAATTTGGGAGTCATTAGCATATTGATTGTATTTAAAAACCATAAAAGTGCAATGAGATCATTGTATCATTTGAGAAAAGGCTTCTCTGTATCAGCCTTTGAGTCGCTCCAACTTCACTACATTCATTTATTCAACACAATTTATCAAGTTCCTACTCTACCAGGCATTTTTCTATGCCACTGTAGTTATAGTAGTAAATAAGGAGACCAATTATTTTCCATCTTAGAACTTCTATTTAATAGAGGACACAGAAAACTCACCAATTTTATATATATATATATAAAGTGAATTTAAGGAAGTGTTGTTTAGGTGAAGATGGAGAATTCAGTAACTATTTTTAAAGTAGGATTGAGTAGGCTTGTTAAGAGGAAAGAGAGAGAAGAAGGGAGGTACCAAAGAGGCTGACCCCAGAGGGTAGGTTAGGTGATGCATGAAGATCACCTTGTCAATAATAAATAAACTCCCAAATTTCCAGTTTGAAAAAAATAGAGAAGACACAATTACAGAGTATGTTTATGGTTGATGGGAATGATCTAGTGGAGGGGGTGTGGGAGGGAATAATTGAAGGAGTGAAGTTTGTGAGCAGGTAGGGGGAGATAAGATCAGGATGAACCTGGAGGGAATGGCTGTTGGATAGGCTCAGAGTCTTATCTTTCACCGTTAATTGAAGGGAAGGCAGAGAGGATGAAATGGTTGCAACTAGGTTCCTAAATTTGATGGTGGGACAATGAGTAGCCTCTGCTTGAAGGCTTCTGTTTTTCCAGTGACATCTAAAGTGAGAATGGAAGGAAAAGGTGTTTGAGAAGAGAAGATATGAAATATTACCTCAGAGAGTGGAAAGTCAAGTTACTAAAGTATAGCAGGATTACTGTGCATTAGAAAGGGTTCACTCAAGATTTATGATAAATAGAACATGAAACATTTAACCAATAATTTTTTCCAGCCACTTTCAGTTGCTCCATTCCCAGCACAGAGAAGGCCTATAGAGCTAGACTCAAGGTTATACTTTTGTGAGATGAACGCAATGGTTAAAGGCTGGAGGAAGGAAATTAATGGCATTAGCAAAGGAATGAAGGATCATGAAATATAAGCTGATTAAGGAGGGAAATAAAAACAGGAGAATGTAGAAGGGATTGTGAAAGGTTAGAAAGGGGCATTACTCATTTATTTAAAGGTTTACTCATTCACTACAAAAATCGAACTTCTTCTCTGTGCCAAACGTTGTCCTAGGCCCTGTGGATATGTTGGTGAGCAAGACTGATCAAGTCCTCTTAGGGTTGGATGAGATGAACAATAAAGAATTAAAACCTGTAAGTAATAAAGTCAGATATTGCAAAAGGCCATGAAAAAAATATATGAAAGGTAGGGAGGTAGAGCCCCAAATGGAAGGGGAGAGCAGTGGCGATGAGATAAGTTGTTTCGGGAGGGAATCTGTCTAGTAAAACTGAGCAGAGACCTGGATGCAGGGAGGGAATGAACCGGTGAGTACTTGTGGGAGTAGTGTGCTAGGCTGAGGGAACCGTGAGTGCTTTTCTATTTTTTCATTAAGAGTTGACTAGTAAGGCCAGCAATTCCATGAGGAACAAGGTATTTTTTCCTTCCCTACTGTATTTTTAAATTGTGCTTTCCTAATACTGAAGTAATACAGCTGGTTTAAGCAATTAGTTGTTGCACAAAAGTCACTCTCCAATGGAGTCTCTCCCCATTCACCCCTCCTCCCAGCCACTGGCAACCACTATTCTACTTCCTATTTCTATTTGCGTGTCCTGGAGATTTCATATAAGTGGACTCATAACCTGTCCTTTGGTGTTTGGTTTCGTTCACTTAGCCTAATGTTTTCAAGGTTAATCTATGTGGTTAGCAGAATTAGCACTTAATACATTTTTATAGCTGAATATTATTGTATTGTATGGATATACCATATTTTGTTTAACCATCAGGTGATAGACATTTGCATTCTTTTCAATTTTTGATTGTTATGAATAATGCTGCCATGAGCATTCATGTAAAATTTGTTGTGTGGACATATGTTTTCAATTCTCTTAGGTATATACCTACAGGTATATGTGGCTTTTTAAAGGCACAACCTTTAAAAAGTTTTATCTTAAAAATATTCCTCACTTAACTCCATTATACGACTGTTTTAAAAGAATACATTAAGTTATTACCAGCTCCTTATTAAGCTACTAGTCATATTATTTTTCTCTATAAATCTGAGTACCAGTGGCCCTGGAGGAAGTGCTGCCTGTGCCCCGTGGCTCTGGACCCCGTCTCACTGGCCGCTGCCTGGGTGCGCGCCCGGGTTTCAGCAGCATCCTGCCGGGGCAGCGGGGATGTGTCTCTGAACAGGTGGTGGGTTACCTTTTTGTCAGTAAATGTCGCTGCTTCCCAGAAGAATCATAAAATCTTGAAACTGAAGGTCTTGATGGGATTCTTGGAGTTCATCTAATCAATCCAATCCCTTCATTTTATAGATCTTAGAACTGAGAGGAGAGGTTAAAATGCTTGCCTGCTTTCTCACAACTGGTTCAAGAACTCAGATGAGAAGCCAGATAGATCTCTTCTGGCTCCTGAACTTCACTTCATTGTCTGAATTTAAAGTCATTAAAACAAAAATAGACATTCATATAGGTGGCACTTTCAGATATAAGTTTACAGAAAATGCTTTCAGATTGTTATAGGAAACAGCTATCAGCCTTATTAACTCACAGAAAAAAGGAGAAAACATAGGAGTGTTGAAGAAATACTTTCACTTTTAGTTTGCGCACAAGGGAGAAAGAATTACAGCTGTTTGTAAACACTGTGATAGTGATAAACAAAGGTCAGCTATTCCTATTAATTTCCCTTAAGAGTCAGCTTTTTTCCTTCTTATTACATTCTAACATTTACATACCAGTAGTTTAAAAAGGGGGTAGAGGATTAAGTGTAATCGTATTACTCAAGTGTAGTCAAATTATGCAATGGATTATGCACTTAGTCACTTTGATCTTCTAAATGTCATGCTGGATGTAGTAAGTAAATGAGTCAGAAGTGGGAATGGGTTCATTCACTATTTCCAGTAAGTGGCTTTCCATCAACAGGTGTTGTGACTGATGGGAAAGAGGAGGACTGGAATGCACACTTATTTGGAGATCTCAGAAATGTACCCTTGGGTTCTTACATAGGGCCGTACGTGAGGCCACAGGCAGCTGAGAGTGTTGGCAGCACAACAGCTACTCTCCAGTTTAGAAGAGGCTCTTGAATCCCCTCTGAGTCTGGGAATATCACTCCCTGGCACAGAGTCGAGAACAGGTGCTGTGTAGAGCCCTGTGGTCCCAGCGTGGGTTTCAGCTCCACCTCTGTCTGTATGATGATCTTGGGTGCATCACCTCAGGATCCAAGTCCCTCATCAGTAAAATTGGAAAGGGGGTATGGAGTTGACCAAATTTTGATCTTTAGAAATTGTTTTGGCTTTAAAATGCTATAGCTCTACAACTTACTGACTTAACATCGCAAGAGTATTGGATGAGAAATTCATATATAAAGATAAGAGCTCAGGCTTTAAAGTTTTACAGAACCATCATTGAGTCCTTTGTGCTATTTGGCAAGTTACTTAATTTCTGTAAGCTTTCATTGTGTTATACTTCAAAGGGCAATGGTACTAATAGTACCTAATTCATAGGGTGTTGGGAGAGGGGGTGGCATTATGATTTCAGAGCCTCTAGAACAGCGCCTGATACATCCTATGATTCAGTAATAATTTGTTAGTAGTAAGTAATATTTTTATTTTCTTTAAAAGCATTTTATTATAATAATATACGGTTCCCTGTAAAAATAAATGAATATAATTCCAGCAAGTTTTAATATTATAAAATATGTCAACTACTATTTTTTTAAAATATTATAATCTATTAACTCTAAAGTAAAATAGGGTGAAAATCATAATTTAAATGATTGAATTGTACATACGATGGGGGAAGATATGGGATGCAAAAATGAAGGTTATGAAGCAAGTAAAAGAAATCTGACTCATTTACTCCTTCACTTTATTGTTCTATGTAATCTCCCTCTTATGTATTTTTGTTCTCTCAACTTGGAGATAGAAGCATCCATGGAAAATTTATCCAAGTTAATAGCTATTCAAGTGGGGTCCTATGTTATTCTTTAAGACAACATTATTGTTGTTTTGTTATGTAGAAATAAATAGTAAATCTATCCAACTCTATGTGAGCCGCCTTCTTATAATTTTTGCTATTATTTTTGTAAGTAGTATCTTGGTGTGAACCAAGGACTTAGGAGCATCATTATTTTGGAAATAAATATTCAAATATTTTTCTTCAATTAAGATACTGGTATGAAACCATCATTATTCAATAGTAGTTTGCTGAATGACCTGAAGGAATTGGCTTGAGATAAAATATTTACAGAAACAGAACCAATCCATGAAATACTATGGAAAATAATGTCTTGGAGAACTAACTATCCAATTCTCTAAAGAAGAGGTGAGCTGTCTGTGGATATGTAAGTGACATGATAGTGTAGATGAGATTTTTAAAGAACATCTCTGAATATGTATGTCCTGTATGTTCCACACCTACTCCATCACCATCTTACCTTACTTCACTGTTTAACAAACAAGAAAATAAATACTTTTGACTCCTCACTACAGTCTCCTTAGCAACTGACACTGAATCCAAAATGCCCGTCTTGTTTCCCAGGAAAAGTTACTTTTTTACTGCATTGTAATTTCTGGCTAGGATAATATTCTTCAGTTTCTAAAGTTCTTTTATGCTTCTTTTATAGGAGGCCAGTTGTAAGAACTCCTTACCCATCCTTCTAACAAAAGACTTAGAAAGAGACATGCAAAACCCATCTCCAAAAACTAAGGTAAGCTCTATCTGATCATTAGGCTTCCACATACAACGTTTGGCAAGGCTCTGCATGTTCTCATGTTCCCATGATCTGTTGTTGCTTGCATTTCTCTCAGCTTTTTTTTTTTCTTTTTTGGACCTGATGGTATAAAAAGCACTTTTTATTTAGTTCATTTAATCCAATGTTGTATTCATCCAAAAATTCTCTGGATACTTTTATTACTTAATAGAAAATGATATTCTTAATAGTAGTATCACTTCTCCTTAAATCAGGATTGTTTCCAGCTTACAGAGCAGGAAGTAGTTAAGTAAAGTAAACCTACCCTAGGTTATTACTTCACAGGGTAAAATAAAATGTCTGAACATAACTTTTTTTCAAAATAGAAATCATTTCATTGATTTTTATAATTATAAAATATAATTTTTACTTAAAATGGATTATAACTTATTAATTTATTATAATTAATTAAAATATATTTTCAAAATTATAAACAGAACACATGACCAATGAAAAGTATTTCAAACAATTTTAACAAGAAAAATAATAATCATATATGTGACAGAATAAAGAGTCTAATATGTACAGTTTTGTTTTCCTTATTAAGAAAAATCCAAAATGTACATAATTGTTTTGCCAGTGAAAAGAAAAACTCCTTTAACCCATAATATGTCATGAGAATTTGATCATTTGTCCAACCAGAAAAGTGATTACATTTATTTTAGAGCCCCTTTCCTAATCTTTAATCTTGACTTTTGAGTAGAACTTCTTCTATTTACTAGATGTGTATAATATTCCTAGCTGGCCACTATGACATTTTATAGAGCTACTTTTTTTTTCTAGTTCTAAGACAACTGTTCTCCAAACTTTATTGAGTTCACCTGAGCAAAGTTTTAGGGAATTCCAGTCTCTGATTTTAATCACCAGTTACTATAAAAATAACTGTGCCTTTATTTATAAAAGCAAGTCAAGTGAAGTACAGAGCCATTATTTAGTGTCTTCTTTATGGTAAGAGTCTACCATTTATTTTAAAAATAAAGTTTAAAACGGCCTTTCTTTAAAACTTATTCCATCTTGAGGTTTTCTGGAAAATTATTTTAACTATCATGCTTTCCTTTCAAATTCAAACTATTTTTTTGTAGTTTTTTCAGTGAAATTTGCATGTGCAAGCTTAAATATAATTAAATCAAATGTATAGTAGAAATTTTTACTGAGTAATTAATGAAGTTCAATGTCAAAAATATACTCATCAAATAAATGCATTGAAAAATGGTAGGATTTGAAAAAAATTTTAAGGTAACAATTGCTAATTAGCTCTATTTATATTGGTATGACTACTTTTAGGTGACAAGACCCTAGATGAATCACTTCCTAAGTAACAGACACTATTGAAACCTATCATAAAAGTTGTTTGAAGGGATTTATTACTTTTATGATATTAATGTCATTTGGAATATTTCAGGCATATACAAAATCAATAATTAGTATGCATTTATTAACCTCCGTCAGTCTTGCCGTATGGTTCATGAACGACAAAGCTAATTCAATAGAAAAATTACTTCGTTGGTTTAGCCTTGGTTTATAACCTTAGCTTCTTTGTGGCCTTACATGAGCAAGTTTAAGTTTATGTGCATAAACTAGGCTTTGCTTAGTTTAGAGGTGATTAAACCTTTGTAATTTCAAATCCCAGAAATGAGGCAAACACAGAACATGTGAGCTACAAGAGATTATAAGGCACTAACTCTTTCACCAAGATTTTTTTCTTAAAATCTTTTTCTCTCCAGTTGATCTTTGAAAGCTAAAGCTGAGACCACCTTTAAAATATGGTTGGTGTGTCCTTTCTAGAGTGATTTAGGAAGCTATGAGAATGATGAGTATCCTTGCTATTATTGTAACTCCATTTGGCCTCCCTAACTGTCCTTCTCAGGCATCTCTAGTTATAATGGTTTTTACCTTGGACAGCCAAGTATTCTACCTCTGCATGGCCAGAAATGTAAAATGGTAATCCAGAGGTGGCATATATCCTTTGGCTCTGAAGATGTCTCTCTAGTCTTAAGTCACCTGTCCCCATGTGTGTTCCCTCTGCCAGTTGTAGTCTATGCTCTTAGGCAATGGGAAGGATTGTATTTCTCTTCCTTAGGCTCAAATCAGGTAGGAAAGCCCCTTCCTGATTTGAGCCCAAGCTGGGGGGTGGGGGGGAAGAAAAGATAACTCCAATATACAATGCCATGACACTTTCTGGACGAGTAATAATCATCTGCTCTGTTAGCTCAAGGACACAGTCATAGAGCCATTTCATGTCCAATTGTGTATGGACCATATATGCAAAAATAAATGGGATACATGATACCGAAGACAACATCTTTTTCTACTACTTACTTCCAAACTCTCTATGTGTTTTTATTTAAAGTGCATATAGTATAGACAGCATACAGTTTGGTCTTTATCTTTTTTACCCATTCTGACCTCTACCTTTCAGTGCTGTTGTAGTTATTGATATGGTTAGATTGCAGGTATGCTGGTAGTCTTGTTTACTCTATGTTCTTTCTGATTTTGTTTCTCTGCTGTTTCTTTTATGCCTTTTAGATTTTTGAACTTTTTTTAAAATTCCATTTTAATTTGCCCTTTTAGCTATAGCTCTTTGCATTGTTGTTTTAATTATTACAAATGCATTTTTAACGTTTCCGTCTACTCAATGTTTTACTACTTTTCATAAAATCTAAGAACCATGTAAACTCCAATTCATTTATTTTCCTTTCCTTCTTTATACTGTGATTGTCATATGTATTATATCTTAATAGTTTGACAACATAATGTTAAAATTATTGCTTTAAAGGGTCATATGTATTTCAAATAAATCAAGAGAACCACAATTTTTTTTTATATTTACGCATATAAGGTCTGTCTGGAAAAAGTCTAACCATTGTTGATTTAATGAGAACAGTTTGTGCAACATCAATGTAACCTGGCAGCCAAGGAGTATGGACTGGAATGCACATGCACAAACAATGATGACTTCACTGTGCTAGTCAGTTGGGGCAGTAGACAATGTTGAGTGAGCATATGTACTGTGTCGCTATCACATTCAAAATGACTGAGTGAATAGAGCAACGAATCTGCATCAAATTTTGCGTTAGGCTTGAACATTCCTCTGTGGAAACTATTCAGATGACTCAGAAGGCCGCAGCTATGGGCAGCTGGTCATTGGCAGCTTCATCACAACAACATGCCCCCTCATGCATCATGTCTAATGTGGAGTTTTTTGGCAAAACATCACATCACCCAGGTGACTCAGCCCCCCTCAGCCCAGATTTGGTGCCCTGGGACTTCTGGCTTTTCCCAAAACTAAAGCTACCTTTGAAAGGGAAGAGATTTAAGGCCACTGATGAGATTCAGGAAAATAAGACGGGGCAGTCAATAGTGGATTTTGCAGAGTGTTTTGCACAGTAGTAAAGATGCTAGGAGAACTTTGTTAGGTCCTAAGGTGCCTACTTTGAAGGGGACTGAGGTGTTATTTTCCTATGTACAATGTTTCTTTTATCTTCTTCAGTAAATGTCTGTATTTTTCATAGTATGTGACTGGATACTCTCTGGACCAACCTCATATATGTAGTTACCATTTCTGACACAATTTATTCTTCCTGAAGCTGTCAATTTCTATAATTTGTCTACAACAGAAGCTCCTTTAGGATTTTTCATAGTTATTGATCCACCAGTGACGAAATCTTAGTTTTGTTCATCTAAAGATTACTTAATTTGATTTTAAATCTTCTTTTTTACTCTTTTATTAAATTTATTGGGGTGACATTGGTTAATAAAACTATATAGGTTTCAGGTACAATTCTAAAATATATCAGCTGCATATTGTATTATGTGTTCACCACCCCATGTCAAGTCTTCTATCACCATTTATGCCTCCTTTACCCTCTAATACCTCTCCCACCCCTCTTCCCCCCGGTAATGTCCATATTGTTGTCTGTGTCTATGAGGTTCATTTGTTTGTTTGTTTGCTTAATCCCTGATTTTGCCCCATCTTGGCAGGACAGAGTCATTAGGAGTCCAGCATATGCGGCCAACAGAGCCTAGATGGTGGTTCTAGCTGATTTCCCATGAAGGGGAAGTGCCCATTAGGTACACATTTCTTTCATGTAAGAATGGCTTGATTATGATGGACTCCTTTAGCTTTACCTTGTCTGGGAAGCATTTTATCTGCCCTTCCATTCTAAATGATAGCTTTGCTGGATAGAGTAATCTAGGTTGTAAGTCCTTGCTTTTCATCACTTTGAATACCTCTTGCCAGTCCCTCCTTGCCTGCAAAGTTTATTCTGAGAAATCAGCTGATAGTCATATGCGTACTCCTTTGTAGGTAACTCTCTGCTTTTTTGTTGCTGCTTTTAAGATTCTCTCTTTATCTTTAACCTTTGGCATTTTGATTATGATACATCTTGGTATAGTCCTCTTTTGGGCCAACTTGTTTGGGACTCTCTGTGCTTCTGGGACTTGTATGTCTATTTCCTCCACCAAATTAGGGAAGTTTTTTTTTTACTATTTTTTTCAAATAAGTTTTCAGTTTCTTGCTCTTCCTTTTCTCCTTCTGTCATCCCCATGAGTCAGATGTTGGCTCATTTGTAGATGTCCCAGAGTCTTCTTATCCTATATGCATTTTTTGAATTCTTGTTTCTTCTTTCTGTTCTGCTTGAATATTTATTTCTTCCTTATGTTCCAAATTGTTGATGTGAATCCTGGTTTCCTTCCCTTCTCTGTTGGTTCCCTGTAGATATTTCTTTAATTCACTTTGTGTAACCTTCATTTCTTCCTTCATGTTGTTGCCATACTCAATGAGTTCTTTGAGCATCCTGATCACCAATGTTTTGAGCGCTGCATCTGATAGGTTGGCCAGCTCCCTTTTGTTTAGTTCTTTTGGAGGGTGTTTTGTTGTGTTCTTTCATTTGGGCCATAGTTCTTTGTCTCCTCCATTTGGCAGCCTCCCTGTGTTTGCTTCTGTGTATAAGGTAGAG